AAATTCTACTACCAGTCCTTCATCACCTTACACGAAATAGGGTGAATACATCTCATTACAGTTGAAGTTTATCCCAATGCTATGAATACAGCTGACGTTTCCATTGAATTTCACATAGCTTTGCTTTTCCAAAATGTAATCTCATCCAGGCCGAGGTGGACTGTAGTTTCGAACTTGCGTAGGTCTTCTCACCACCCTCAGCACGAGTCGAACCACGACCGTGCAGCGTATAATCTTGCCACGTTAACTACTGCCCCACATTGCCTCGAGCGTCCTTGTTTCGGAGGGCAGGTGTGAAATTTAAGAAAGCCCAGGCATTTTGCCATATCACATTATTTGATGTGAATTTCGATTAAGATAAGCTATATTTATTATGACATTTGTTTGTTTATAACTAGAGTTTGGAGACTACCGGTAAGTCATTTACATGAGATATGGGTGATTGTCATGACAAATATAACTTTGCTTCATCGACATTCTAACCAAAGAATGTGATACGAAAAAATGCCTGGCCTTCCTTGAAATTCACATCTACCCCCCGACCCGATGACGCTCTTGGCAATGTGGTGTAGTGGCTAACTTATTGAGACTACATGTTGACTGTCCTGGTTCGAGTCCCGCTGGGGATGTTGATAAAACCTAGACGCGATCGAAACTGCAGTCCACTTAAGCCTGGATAAGGGTATCTTTTGGTAAAGCAAGGCTATGGAAACGTCAGCTATATTCATAGGATTATGGGAAAATTCAAATACCGGTTTGGTTTGCTGGTAGTCTCGAAATCCCACTTATGAACGAAAAATATGATCTAATGGAGCCATTCTGTCTCTAAACTAGCCACCGATTCAAGTAGGATGATCATACTTACGCAAGCATGAAACAGGTGAAACATGTTGACCATGTCCGGCGAAGTGTATGATTCTCCTTGTGGACCGTGCTCGAGGTAGCCTAACATCGCTGGCGAAACAAGTCACTAAACTTCCTTAAACCAACGAGAACTATCTTAGCCGTTTCCTCACTTTTAACTAATCTTTGCCAACCTTTTAGTTGTGGTAAATACATAATATTTTGTACGTAGGGAGTTTTAAGTAAAATAGGAACTTTTTGTTTTGCTTCAAACCCTGCGCATGATAAATTTAATAGAACGCTGGATTTTTTCATAAATTCAACTTTGCCTTGCATCCCAAACGGAGGGTCTCATCTCCAGTTAATACCCCATCTCGACCTTGGTCCAATTATGCTCCACAGCAAGTATGGAAAACCAAGCCTCTCTCAGTTCATATCACTTTTGAGGATATATTATTTATGAGCTACTGTCTGTCTGACTTGAAAACTCAAAATGCTCACAATACGCCTCTTGACGGCTTTAGAACAAACACGCTGTTACTAACTTTATAAGTCAGTAGTATAACAAATTAAATAGAAGACGGTTGCTGAAAGAAATGTGTTAGGCCTTGCAAGCATATTTATCGTGAAACGCGTTTAAGCCACAGTCGTATGTCTGTCTCGGAAAGCGCATTTCCAAGGTTCGAGTCCCGTTGTGGCTAATAAAGAGATGGGGATGGGAAGGGAGAGGTCGAAAATGCATTCCAGACTGAAGATACATTGTGCAGGGAAGTTCACTGCAATATTCAAGATATATATTTATTCTGTCCATTAGTCCAACAAAAGAATAGTCGAAACTGGTGGTGTCATTTCGAAGGAAAATTCGTAATTAGGCCTCAACTGAGACCGAGGATAGATTGGTTCTGAGTCTTGATGGCCTAAATTAACGCCTATTCTTCGTTCTGCTGTCCAATCCTGAAGCCTTGATCCCAGAAATGCTGTGTTTCGACTCGGTGCGAGATAGTTCCTAACTTTAGACATGATGACATTCTTCTCACGAACTGGCCGGCAAAAGCGTTAATTAGGGACAATTCGATCTAATTGGCCTGGCTGGAGTTGATTTGGAATTACTTTGGGATCAAGTCAATTTATGTCATATCAGATCGGATCGGATTGGATTAGATGGGAGTAATAGAAGAAGGGGATGATAGGTTGATGATGAAGCAAGATCTGGCTTTTGTTGGGGGATTTAGACGATGAGGCAGAGATGGCGCTTTCTTTGGCGTCAACCTTCTTTGGCCAACTTGGACAGACATTGGCGGGCACATGAACCGGCCGTGTTTGAAGTTCAGAAGACTGATCTACGATGGGTAAGGATAAGGAGCGAGAGATCAGTCAAGTCGCTTTGAAGAGGTGAAAGATGGCATCTTGGCAGACGCCTCGTCATCTGGTCAATGCAGCCACGCAGAAGGACCGGAGGCAAGAGCAG